GGTACTAACCGCATCACGAAGAGACGTCAACACCGCGGTGTCATTCTCGTGATATCAATTAGCGTCACATATTTCGTGCTGTGTTTGCCTAGCATTGTAGTCCTGTCATTCATAGCAGCGCAGTCGGTGTTCTTCTCACCTTACGTGTACGTTGGTGTCTTTCTGCTCGGAATAGCGAGCAGTGTCTGGAACATCATCGCTTTCATTCTTTTCGATACCAAATTTCGACGCGTCATTTGCGGCATGTTTAGGAGAACGAGGAGGGAGCAGATAGAAGTATAAATTTCCATGTGAAGTTTTGGTTATTTTAAGGACAAGTCTCTTTTTTATTTATACTCACATGTCGTAATATATTGCATGTTTATTAATACTGATCTCATACTGCCTTCAATAGGTATTCATATTTTATACATACTGCACTGAGTGCACCCATATTTAGGTTTCATGTATAGGGACAATAATTGTTGTGGATCTATCGGAATATCAGGATATATACATGGTTATTTTTCCACCATATAGACAATAACTATGATAAATCTCTTTGATTGTTAAACTGTTTGTGGTTAATGTTTGCCTTTTTATATTCTATTATCATAATGATATAATGAGTCAAACTAATAATAATAACAATACAAATAATAATAGTAATAATAGTAATAGTAATATTGATAATGATAATAATAATAATAATTACAATGTTATATTGTTTTGGTAATTACTCTAAATACATGAACAAATATTGAATGTAATATAAATTCAGAGAAAATATCTATATAATGTGATATATGTTTATTCTCTCTATATACTCGTTTTATGTTGTATGTATCATGTCACATGTACATTTTATTTGTTTTTCTCTGTGAACAATGCATGTAAACGAAACGAATTTCCTTCTGGACCAATAAAATTTGAATTGAATTGAATTGAATTGACAAACAACTTTTGTGTCACTTATTTGCTTTTGTTTTGTATTTAATAAATTGCAAGGCTTATTACGAATTCGTCTGTTTAGAGCTAGAAGACATTATCTCTGTTTACAAATATTTTTTTCATTATCAAACTACATGTACCAATTTTGAACCTTGAGACACTATTCAAAGAAATTTGGTTGATTATCCCTAAATTCATTTAAAACTGGCTCCCAAACATATATCTAAAATGTCAAGCAAAATGGAAATCTCTATTATTGTTTTTTCTTTGTCTTTTTGAGGAGTCCACTTTGCAAACCCTATAGACAATGGATTTTAGCGTTACGGTCACGGTTACGTTTTTTGTTCCATCTTCTTGCTTTAATTGTGTCTTTTATTACTAGAATTATTATTATCTTCCAATTCTACATCTATCTCCTTTTTCTTCTTTTGTGATGGAATAAATGATATAGGTTTTCCTGCCCAACTTCGTAAACTGAGCATCCGAATTAACGTTACGTTGAATGACTAATTGAATGACTATGTAGATCAACATTCAAAAAGCTAATTGCGTCATTCAATTTGATTTAGTAGCATGCGATTTCATACTGTTGCCACGGAGACGTGCAAAACGAGCATTCAATTTAGAAAAGCGTGCAAAGAGCATTCAAATTCGCATCGGACAGACGGTGGTATGTCTTCGTGCATTCAATTTCGTGACTAGGCATACATATGTGACATTTGAGCATTGCTTTTCATTTGATGTTAATTTGACACTTCTGTTTGAATAATTTTATGCAAAGTTTACTTGGAGAGATGACCTGCGTAGTCGTTCTGTCATTACACAGGTAACTGTCCCCAGAGAAGGTGCACAATTTGTGAATTCTCTTCTTTTTAAGCACAAGCTATATATAAACAGATCTTGGACAGAGGTAGAGTTCAGGTTTAATAGACATGGACATGATGGAAACAAAATACAATGATGAATAAAGAAAAAGATGTTAAATGAAAAGAAAAAAATATCACCTACTCAATCAAAATTGATCAAAACAAAACTTTAAAAAAATAACCCCTAAGGCATTTATAATGAAAAATATGAAGATATGAATAAAGAGATGTTTCAACAAAAATAAAGAATGTCGAAAGAAAGAGAAAACATAAAATGCAATATAAATATATTAGACAAATAAGAAGAGTGTATAATATGAAATCATGTCAGAAAAGATCATAGAGAAAAAGAATAAATAAATCAACATGAAATACTAAATATCCGAATGAACATCGAGCCTCATACCATGATTATGAGGTCTAGTTTTAATTTGAATGACCCGATCGCGAAAGAGGTTGCCCATAGACGAAAATGAAACCGCAATTCGCCAAAGAATTCACCTGCCACTCAACACTGGCGAAATTGAATGACCCTTACTCATTTCCAAATAGACTGATACAAGCTTTAATTTGAATGTGCATGTTTAGAAAATTCGGTGACTCGAAACGAAGTTGAATGCAACAAGTTTAAAAATGAAACAGGGGAGGGACGACTTGAGAAAATTTGCTCGAACATGAATACACGTTAATGATATTGATTGCTGCTTTTACGAAATTGGCCGGGAAGACCTATATTAAAATAATGATATAATGCCACACATTAAGTGATACGACAATGCTAAATTCTATATAATTGAATTTTGAATATACTATATATGACAATAGGCCTACTTTGAAGCATGCAAAACAGATTATTTTTCTTAGCACTGATCATAATTTATTCAACTGTTATATTCTTCCTATGAATTTGCTTAAGTCATATCATAAAACACATCCATTACCCACTTCCGTTATCCCACCATCAATATCCTTTGATCTAAGGTGTACCTATAATTATTTATGATTGTACTGTTTTTAATAACTTTGTAATACTATTGTATTTTATGCAGTTTTCTTGTGATATTACTTATGTACATTGCACTCAATTCAGCCGAAAGGCTGCCATGTACAATTTTTGTTCAACTTTCTTCAGCGTTGAAAATATGCGTATTGATCAATTACACATTTTGATGGACGGAATCGTTCAAGCAATTCACTTTGCCAGCCGTAATCCAACAATGAATTAGATACTGGTTACATGCACAACCTTTACCAATGTCCAAAGATATACTGTTTCACTGTTGCGTGCTGTAAATGCGCTACTTGATCTATTTGCTGAGTAAACCTGGGGGTTGTTTCACAAAGACTGAGATCACCTTTAATTTGTAAATATACTTAACTACGGCAAGCCGTTCATGCCACTGTTTGATCTCACCACTTGCTGGCATTGGTCTCTCAAGGGACGAATAAATCATGGTCACAAAGCTACAGAATTGACATTTTTGGATAATTCATTATTGAAGGAAAAAATAATATGTAAAGATCATAACGATGAGAGCAAACGGTGGCATAAATGGCCTGCCATAGTTTAATCCAATTTAAAGTTGATCTTAGTTTTTGTGAAACACTCCCCAGATCAATTATTAAGTCAGAATAACTCACTCTAAAGATAAAGTTTAATTCTGCTTAGGCGATTGCATTGTGAAGAAACTCTGTGAAAACAATCGGAAATGGTTGCTTTACATAAACTTTGTGTAAACTGTGAGGTTTTGAAATCATTAGAATTATAAGAAATTGGTCGAGTCTTTTTGCTAAAACTCACATTCATGGTACACAAATGTGTGTACATGTGACTGTAAGGAGCTTTGGCAATAGACCAGTTTACGGTTTTTACTGCAAGACCCCAAATATCCACAGATCTTCAAAACATAAAGAGGTCCCATTTTGTACATTTTGAAATAATCACTCCTATAGCGATGAAGGTGCTATATAAATAGCCTTTGTTTCCCCTTTTCAAAGAATACTTCCACCTGTGTATCATGGAGTGAACTGAATGTGCATGAATGAATAATGATTACATAACTTTCATGAGCACGTATCCGGTATTTAGTCTCCGTGTATTTCAAAATTTGTTCTGCAATGAACTTTATCTGCTCATGCTCAGACTGCAACCATGAACTAGCTTATTTGAAAGTTTGGCCCTAAAATGTCACCTCTATATTGTTGCATTGCAAATAAGAGGGAATTTGCCCAGCCGTCCTTGCAGTCAGGTGACCTTTTTTAATGATATTCTTCCACACTAACATGAAATTATTTATTAAAAAGCTAACAATGTAGGTTTCACCTGTCCCAAGTACTCAACCTTTTCGTTTAGGGTTCTTGTCGGAGCATACTGCTTTCAAATTTCGACCAATACTCAATAATTAATAATAATAATAATAATTGTAAATTTATAATGCGCAGTTTCTATATGTATATACTCAACTGCGCATGACATAATGATAGTAAAAGGAACAATACAAATAAACATTTAAAAGTTAAAATCGATGCTAAGGGGGAACCTGTGTATGCTTTACAATGAAAATGTCTATGTAAAACTTTCCTGAAACAGATAGGTTTTCAGGTTATTTAATTAATTGTATACATTTAATTGTTTGTCTTTCTTTAATTATGTTATTCCTCATTTTAAAACGTCTGTTTACGATTGTATTTTGTTATATTTGTATTTTCATATTTACCGTTTTATTTAGGAATATGCTGACCTGCACAGGTTTTTCAAAGCCTGTGACCCATGCCTTACTCGGTAGGATAATAGCTGTTTGAATAAGTACAATGCAAATAGAAGATACATCAGGTATTTTTAGCAAATACCGATTGACGGTTCTTAGAAATGTAGTATAGGTTTCGCAAACATTCAACATGCCTAATGGGAAAAAATGTCATTTCTTGTTCAAGCTTATTGCGCAAATATATTAAAAATAACAAGATCTATGCGAAAAATACTCCTTTCCTTGGCCTCCCACACTCTCTCTCTCTCTCTCTTTCCACATCTTTTGTACTCTCTCTCTATTTTTCTTTCCCTTCTCTCCTCCCTTCTCTCTCTCTCTCTCCCCTTATCTTAGTCCAGCTCACAATACACGCATAAACATCCTTTTCTCATTTCCCCATCTCACTGTTTCCATTTGAACATTTCGCACAATTAACCCACGCATAAAACAAAATTAATACCGATAATTACAATCATGCATGCATGCCCTCCTTTATTCAACATTCTGTGTAATTCAAGGTGAAAAGAGTATGAATAAAATTAGTTTTCATCCAATATATTTTTTTTTATGGCAAGTAAGTTGATCAGTAATGCAAATCAAACAACAATGGAATGTATTCACAAAGAACGAGTAAGGTGCTCGCAAAGACTTTGGAGTTAAAATATTATTTTTTATTTAAACGTTATATAATCCCCATGTGGTAAATGTATTTATTAAAGGTGATATCCATTCGCATTGAATTAGGTATCGTTGGGAATTTTATTTTTAGTTCTTCGCATTTGTTTCAAGTTCATTGTTAAAAAACATAAGGGGAAGGAGAAATAATGAAATGAAGTTACGAGATTCAAGTTTTTCTGAGAGAATTTCGTATACAATACCATAAGGAGGCTTGGTCGTGTGACGTCATTCCGTGGACTATTCACAAAAATAAAAATAAAGTACAATCAATAAAGTAACTACAATCTATGCTAACTTATTATAAATCGTACAGAACGTGTTGCATCATTTTACTTAAAAACAGATATTGTCACGGGCTGTTACAGAGGGATTTCTCAAGCTTCATGAATCTCGGATCCAGAGACGCCCTCCGCGTCGTGTCTGCGCGCGCGAGATCCTTCATCTTTTGACGCAAGAGTGCGACGTCGCCGCCGGCTTCAACTTCTCTTTTCGACGTTTTCAACATTAAGTGTGCGGGAAGCGTCCTTACGATACGACGGATCACGTGGAAGTCGACATCTTCCGCATCTTTGACGTCACTGCCGCTTTGTACATTGCCGTTAACGTCCTTATCTTGGTTTTCGTTTTCGCTGCTCACACCCCAAATGTGATTGCTGTCCGCCTTCGGTAAGCTTGAGGGTAGGTGTGTTTTCGCGGTACCTTCACGTTTGCTCTTTTGCAAGGTAGAGCTGGCGGATCTAACCGCTTTGGTGCCACTTCCCTGCGGTTGCTGCCTTGAGCGTTCCTGGTTTGATTTCGCGGTGCTGTCGCGGCGTGAATCTCGTCTTGACCTGCCGTGACCGCTTTCGCTTGTATGCAACGCTCGTTTTAACCTATCACTTTTGGTTGACCTCTCCCGTATGGCATGGTCACTCTGCTGCCGAAGTAACTGCAGTTTTCGGTCAGTTTTAGGTGAGTTGGGAAGGCTTACGCTTCCTGGTCTGTGTATTTCCGAGGCAGATGGTGCGGTCGGAGGCGTTGACCATGCGTTTACCGTCATATTTGGCGCGGTCTGGGGTGGTAAAGACGAGGACAAGAGTGATGCATCTCTATCAGCGTTCGAACTCGATGATAGTTTCAAGTCATTTGTTAACTGAGACTGCGATGGCGATTGAGATTGAAGTGGGGGAACCGGAACACTTTTCTTGAATGTCATGGCAAATAGTCCAAGTGCTCTTACTTTCATTACTGGGAACTTCTTTTTAGGTTTTGCCGCTTCTCCATTATCACCAGAGCTTGATTTTGGCTTATTTAGAGGATCTGCTTCTTCCGTAGTCTCCTTATTTGCTTCTGGCTCAGATTCAGCAGTTATCTTACAGTCGTCAACCTTTTCTTCCACAACTTCCTCAGCTTTTACCTCAGGTTCTAGTTTTTGTTTCCAAGCCCCTGACATCAAAGGTGGCATTATTTTCTTTTCTCGCCTCGCTCCGAAAGCTCCCCTACTTGCAAGGTCCCGTTTCTCTTCCTCTTTCTTATCACATTCAGCTTGTCCGCTTTCTTTAGTCGCTCCGCCAGCCGCTTCCTGACCATCAGGTTTAGATTCGTCCTGCTGCTGTAGATCTGCAGATGAAGCACCTTCATCAACCACGAATGCCTTTGACGATTCTTCAGGAGACCCTTCTTCGAGTTTCACTTGCATGAGGTCCTTGCTCTCGGGGCTCTTACTCGACTTGGTCTTAAAAGAAAACACGTATTCCTCTTTCAACCAGCTGTTATCCCCCTCCTGAGGCGGTGGGGGAATGTGGTTGAGGTACTTTGGTCTCTGCGCGGCTTTCACAAAACGGAGCTCGTTGTCCTGATCAAACACCTGCTTCATGAAGAAACTTCGCTGGTTCCATGACATCGCCGTTTCCCGTTTCCTCTTCTCTTTGTCGATCTTCTTAAGGGTGGCAGCTAATCGGCGTTCCTCACCAGGGTTTCCCAGAGAGATCCCAGGCCCCGCATTCTGACCACCCTGCGACTCCATGCGAGCATTACGTCCGACCTTTTGCGCCATGGCCCTCAACGAACAGATCCGAAACCACAGATCAGTTCTTTATAATTGCCTGCAGAAAGAAGTTGGAAAGAGAAGATGATTTTATTAGGACGTTTCTTCTTTACGAAATGATAGTAATTGAAGGGCAATATAACATTCTCTTCGATGAATACTTTTAAACACTATTTACATAATTTTTACAGACGCCTTGTCTTGTAAAACTCCAATCGCATTGGCAAGGACGATGCCACATTGGCAAGAGACCGGGTTACGTCGAATGGCCAAGAATCGTCGGTTTCAGTTGTTGGACATTCTCTGTTGAGTAATTTTCATTTTGATCTGTCGTCGTCTTAGTATCGGCCGCGTCGTTGTGACTGGGGCTTTAAAACCAGTGGGTTGTGAGACCAATAGTTTGCAAATGCACCAAAGCTTCACAGAAACAATAAGTTGTCCCTCACAAGTTGAAGAAAACAAAGACTATGACAAGATAAAGACTACGATCCTTCCTCCCCAAAGGACTCGCTCTTTCAATGTAATTCTACGTGCTAAGCCAACCCCTTTCCCGGCCATTTTAATATGCACTTAAGCCTATTGTTGTGGTGACGGCGCCCGATATTGCCATCGCCCCCAATCTGTGTAGATCAGAGATACCATTGTTGCAACACCTTGATCAGACATCGATCGGTTTAGTGTAATCGTGAATAGAGAGAAAAGGCAAAGTATGCAGCTATTCGGGTGTTGCTGGGATATTAGCGTTCGTGTTTAGGTAGTAGGTACGGGGTTCGAATCCCTATCGCACCAGTAACATCCTTTGGAAAGACATTAAGCTGCATTCGCCACACTCGACCCAGGTGTTGGAATGGGTAACTGGTACGATTTATTCATTGAATGCATTGAATGCCAGGGTTGCCGGAGCTACATGGTTTCTTACGAATATCCAAAATCCTTTGGAGGCGCAAAGGTTCTGTTTGGAACCAGAAGGGCATTGTTTGTATTCGCTTGAGCAAGAGATTAACGCCATTCTTGCTCTGAAAGGTCTAAACGGAATCCACGCCGGACAGTGTAAGGATGTTTCTATTTTCAAAGTACATTTCATAACCTTTTTCATTTCATATTTATCTGGACGAATGATATACTCATCCCCTAAATGATAAATTCCTACCTTAGGTCTACCCTATATCTCTACAATCTGCTAATCATGTTCTGGAATGGTGCTCACCCCCATCTCTAGACCGCCTTCTAAACACACCATTCACTTGTTCCGTAATACTTGAAACAATTCTTTATAAACGGGTTCTGGGTTCAATTGACATAATTAACAGATCGATATTCGGCGGTGGTGTATTGTCATTTATTGATCCAAGGGGGAGAAAACGTGCGAAATGTCGTTATATTTACACATGGGAGGGTAATAGCAACATGGGGAAGGACGTTTATCTATGCTGTTTTATTTACTATATCGACGATTTTGCACCTCGAAGTTGGATAGGTATGAAACTAATATCGATTGATTTGAGCTTTATTGATTGGTGTGATAAGAGGTCGGTGATATAGATTTTGAGGCTGGAAACTAGAAAGAAAACGAAAGACTAGCGATTCGAAATGAAGCAGACAGTAAAAAGACGAAGACTTATTGATATCGTTGAGAAATAACAGACATTATGACTAAATTGAGTACGACTGGCTTGTAAGAAAATGTGTAGGAATAACATATTTAATCATTTTCATGGGCATCGGCACAGCTATATGGGAAGAATAATTCGATGGTGCGACAAACAAAAGCTCATTGTGTCGATTAGATTCAAATAAAATAATTCGATTCTGAAACTTATTATTATCCACCTATATACCTTACGAAGATTAAGACTTTGGTTACTTTTTCTCCTCCTTGACAACTACATGTACTACTACTACTACTACTACTACTACTACTACTATTACTATTACTACAGTGCTACTACTACTACTACTACTACTACTACTACTACTACTACAGTGCTACTACTACTACTATTACTATTTCTACTACAACTACTCCTACTTCTATTTCTACTACTGCTGCTGCTGCCACGACTTTGATGATGATAATCATGATAATATGCGATTGGTAATAATGAGTTTAATAAGGATAATGATATTATTCATATTAATGATAATGATAATAATAATAAGAACATGAACAATAACATCTCTCTTCCAACAGCCTCTATTCCACCCTCCCCAACTCCACCTATCCACTTATTTATCTCTCTCTCTCTCTAATGGGGGAGGGGGGGGGGTGCGCTCTCCGACTCCGTTGCTCCTCACCAATGTCCACCCCTCCACCAGTTTTGGTCTCCTTTTTCCTTCATCACATCTTACAGTGCACTTTTCGAAGGACATTCGGAGATTAGAAAGACAATCGAAAGGCGTGAAAGGGGTACAAATTTTGTGAAGTAGGAAAGACAAATACTACTCCGGGAACTGTCCTTTTATGTTCTCTTCCCCTCATAACCTTTATACATGAAAGTGGTCTGGCGCTGGAGGTCGGTTTAGGCCGCCGAGCTTTATAGTTAAAGAAGTTTTTGGACTAATTGAATAACAACGGTAAAGTAAATAACAGGTACATGCGAACATCCCAGACGGTCAATACGTGTATAATAGTTGTTTTTAACGGAGGGGTTTTGTCACACGTGACTACTGGTGCCATAGCAACGAGTAGCGAAAACGGTCAGGTAAATGGAAGATCTATATAATTATGTGGGAAAGAAAAAGAGTAGGAGAATTTGTTTGTGTGTGTGCGTGACAGAGGTTGGAAAAAAAAGAGGATAAAGATATTTAGACAAGGTTTAAGGGAGAGACCGTGAAAGCAAAATGCGAAGAACAAAATGCGAAGATGGAGAGAGGTGGGGATATACAGAAAAACAGAGAGGGGGGGGGGGGGAAGTAGACAAAGTTGCAGTGAGAAAAGAAGAGGGAAAGAGGGGAGATGTTGACAGATTGATTTTAGGATCAGAAGATGCATTTATTCAAAAAAGTCTACGTTAAGTTGGAATGAAGAGGATATAAGCATACATGAAAACATAATGCAAAGTTTCGTGGAGGAATAATAATAATAATAGCTCGTTCTTATATAGCGCTTTTCAGGACCGGAGGCCCTCTCAAAGCGCTTTACAGATAAGTATATTATTACCCCGGTCATTGGATTCAGGCTTACCCGCACACAATGTATGCACATTCTCCACTCCCTGGGGAGCATTCCAGCCAGGCGTCATTTTTACAAGCGCACACTGGCTAATCTAAGCACATTAGCTTTCGCATCCTACCGGGTACCCATTTAACACCTGGGTGGAGAGTGGCAAATGTAGACCAATGTCTTGCCAAAGGACATTAGTGCTGCGGCGGGACTTGAACCAAGGATTCCAGACTGTCACAGGCCTGGCATCTAAAGGAGTAATTACATGTTTTCTTGAGAGTGTGGTACTTTTGTTCATGTTTGTTTCCTGTCGTGATCCACTGCTAAATAGATACCTTAAAAGTGAAGAAGCCTCCCCCAAACTCTAAGAGGACATGGAATTTCTATAAGGACAAGAGTCATAACAGATTGTAGAACTGTTAGGAAGGGGGGGGGGGGTCTAAAAGAAGTTTGGAATGTACAGGTTTAACAATAGGTAGACTGAAGTTTTCTATCAAACGGGCATATGGTAGCTCGCGTTAATTTAAACCAAAACAATCATCCTCATTGAAGAATTCCGTGCTCTTTCACAAAAATAGTAGTTATATTTTCGATATTTATTCCCTTGCCCCGACATTTTCCCATAATCATCTTTCTGTTGTTTTCGCTCTGTTTTCTTTTATTCATTTATTTGTTCAATCATTGATATTTTTATTTAGTTATTTATTATTCATTTATTTAAATTTTATTGGGGGAAATTATTTTAAGATGTTTTGTTTGCTTTGTTTTGTTTTTCAATTTAGGGAAATATTAATAACACTGAACACCGGTAAAGAATAACATCACCCTTTCCTGTAAATTATTGAAAGCAACATGAAGTATAACCAGACATGTCGATAATGATAAATAACTAAACAATTGACTGCAACTAACCGCATTGCATTCGTAAAAATCAAGGTATGAAAAGTTCCAAAATAGCAGTCAGATGTGATTATCTGACAAAAAGGAGAGTTCTCAAGTATTACGGGTGAGGAGTGGAGGGGGTGTCACAAATGCCCAGTAAACGGATTTTTTTGGTTGGTTCTTTCTTTCTTTCTTTCTTTCTTGCTTCTTTTTTTCTTCTTACCTTTCTTTGATTTGTTTTGATTAATAACCTGGGGGCATGTGCCCTCATGCGCTAAGAGAAGCGCAAGAAAGGGGGGGGGGGTGGGGGTGATTATGCACACATTGTCCCCAAAGGCAAATTGGTCACACTTCAATGAAACGAGATGAGCAAATTTAAATAAAGAAATTTCGGGACATTTAAACACCTGCAAAGTCGAACACACTCTATTTGTTTTGGTCTGGTTACATTCAAAGAACAAAGAACTGGACATCACAATAGATGTTTATCGTGGATAATTGGCTAACCGGCCCCTATAGAGACATTCATGATTTAACCCTCTGTCTACGGAAGCTACATGGTTGATCCTGTACTGTATTAAGCTTATGGAGATAAGAGAGTAGGCCTTTTTTTCTGCTCCTTACCTTTTCTCCAATCCCTATCCGTGTACGCACCCCTATTCGCTCTCTGTCTATCATGGGATCATACTAAATTCTTAATACTCCCTCTCTTCTTGAACCCTAGTTCTCCCTTTTTTGTTTCTTTCGGCATCCATTTATATTCCTTGCTTTTACTCCGTTTTATTCATTTTGTGGTAAGATTATTATTACTCTGTTTCTAAGTTTATTCCCCATTTCCAGTTCCCAGCCTCAAAATCTATATCACCGACCTCTTATTACAACAATCAATAAACTCACATTAATCGATTTTCGTTTCATACCTACAACTTCGAGGTGCAAAATCGTCGATATAGTAAGTAGAAACGCATAGATAAACGTCCTTCCCCACGTTGCGATTACTCTCCCATGTGAACGATTATTCGCACGTTATTCTGCCCTTCCAGGCCGCCGTCTAAACACACTATTCACTTGTTCCGCAATACTTGAAACAATTCTTTATAAACGGAATTAACAGATCGATATTCGGTGGTGTATTGTCATAAAATTGATTCAAGACCTTTTAAAAAAAAATGCCATTCATCATGTTCAGTATTAGCAATGCATGACACGGTCATCATTTTCAGTTCCTCTTTATTTATTATTTGATGCTTATTACCTTTTAAATCTGAAATTGGGCGTGTACATAGATTTTTTGAGATAACAAATTGTATTATCGTTCCGAGTGATGCGTGGTTAAAACAAAGTTCACCCGACCTACATGTACTCACCAATTAGTACAAAGCGGTGAACTTCGAAACCATTTTCCATCCTAATGGGAACACTTGACGCTTATTAAGTCATACAGTAACTGTTTGTCTTTGCCTTGATTGCTCCTTCGTTCCATTAAATTAAATACAAAAGAGTAATTATGTTTGTTTTAAGATAGCATGCATTCTAATAATATATTATTTTATTAAAATAAGGAACGTCGACATATTTAACATCATGACAAGATTGAACCCGCGGCGTAGTAAAGTTTATTAATCTGCATTTTTTCAATGTGATCATTCCTTGGATCTTTATAGTGAACTGGAGATTTGACACTTCAGTTTGTAGTCATTTCAATTCACAGTATATATATATATATATATCATATTGCGATCTGAAAAGGATGACCGTATCATGCTTTGCTAATATTGAAAATTGGTGAAAGATATGAAAAAAGGCAGAACTGAAAATACAAGGAATAAGAGTGAAGCGAGAAATATTCCGTATCAATTTGCATACAGTTGTACATTTATGTAATTGTAAGCAACCACAGTAAACAAATATTAGACGTAAATGTTCAATATCCCCCACAACAAAAATATACAAACTCCCTAGAATCAAACCGGCCGCTTTCATATATGATTGTGCTATAGTGAATGTGATCGCAGGCATTTGGTTGCCAAGCAACACCAAACACAAATCGCCGAAAATGCGGGTACCAAAGTATAGAACAGAAAACAAGCTGACCATAAATTTCGATGACCTAGACTCCTTAAGGGTAAAGGTCACGGTCGAGTCAGCTGTACAATCATTTGTGATATCATTGAACCAGGAATGACTGCCTATTGTATGTATGATGTAGGTATTTCAGAGTATTGAAACCGGATTCTTTGTGAAAAGTCAATAGAACTGTCATAAATGGTGGTATCAGCAAATAAATCATGCATCTATTTATATTCATATGTGCATTTGTATATCACGCTGTTATTCCTTCTTTAAAATTTGTCTGTCTTTGACTTTGACTTTGACTACTCCTCTCTCACCTCGCGCCTTTTCCCCTCTCTGTCTTTCAGTCTGTCTGTCTCTTTGTCTCTTTGTCTCTCTCTTTATTTCTCTCTCACTCATTTTCTCCTCTCTTCCTTTTCTCTATTTCACCTATTTCCACTTCTATCTCTTTGATTTGCTGTTCAATACCTTTCTAACTCCATATTCTAAATTTCCCCTCCTTTTTCAGCGTCCTCCACCTCCCACCTCTCTCTCTCTCTCTCTCCCTCTCTCTCTTTCTCTCTCTCTCTCTCTCTCTCTCCCTCTCTCTTTCTTCCTTCCTCTCTCTCTTCCTCAGCCATCGCCCTTTCTCTTTCCCCCATTCCTTCATTTCCCATCTCTCTCTCTCTCTCTCTCTCTCTCTTTCTCTCTCCCTCTCCTTCTCTTTATTATTGTTTATACAAACCTATGCCAAATAGGGTCTATCATATCCTAAGGATATATTTCTTCCACAATGTTACACCACATATGCATTCATTCGTAACCTGGTTGGTTTTCTTTCTTTTCTTTTTTAAATATGAAGAAAGTTGGAAAGAAGATTCGAATGTGCTTATTATCTTTAAATAAAAAGTACCCATCAGTGTATATACACTCAATGTGCATATTCGCTATTAACGGCAATGACATAATCATCATTTTAATTGCTAATGTAGTGATTTTGGGGTAAAAAAAGAACTCCCTTATCTCCAACACTATGATACTTAAGCATATAGGCAAAAGATACAACTGTCAATAGGAGAAATACAAATGGTAAAGGGTAGTTTATACGCATGTACACCCCAACATGAGAAATACGTAAAAATCATTTCTATCAATTTAAATGTTCGTGATATTGTATGAAGAAGGTAAAAAAAGAAGGTTTAAAAAAGTTGAAGCAGAAGAAGGAGGAGGAAGAGGAGGAGGAGGAGAAGAAGAAGAAGAAGACGACGACGATGAAGAACAAGAATACGAACAAGAACAAGAAGAAAAAGAAGAAGAAGAAGAAGAAGAAGAAGTCGATGAAAAAGAAGGGAGATAAGTATGGCGGTAATAAAAACAACAACCACAGTACATATATTCACTAAACAGGGACTCTAGATACATATTGTCACCTGTCTTTCGTGCATTGGTTGCAAGACACCAGGCAGCACTGAGAAAACGTGTGACTGATTACTTGGCTTGAGAAAGTCCACAGGCTGGAGTGGACGATCTATGCTTGCCACAAAATGCAAGGTTGGTATAGAGGCTTCAAAATTACATTATATGATTATACCCAACCGATGAAAGTTTTTTGTATCAGTACAATTATTTATACTTTGTTTTTATATGTTTTATAATATTTGTCATCACTCATTTTCATAGAAACAGTAAAGCAAAATAGTTATTCTTACTGTACAAAATATACAAATTATAATAATGCGGGTCATGAAACATAACATCATAACAACATACCGGTATATAGTCTTAGCAACAACTTAAGAAACTTACCTCGTTCGGTAGACAAACTTTGCGTTTCCCATCTTCCTCCGTTAAACATTCCCTACTGAATTGCCCGGAAAGCTTAGCTTTACATCGTCTATCAAAATGATATGTCTCCACCGAATTTATGCTTGGCAACATAACCTATGAGGCTATGCCAGTGATAAACGTTCAGACTTGACTGTAGTCCGGGGCTTTTGTGAATGCCACAACCTGCTTAGTATTCGATCTATAATAGTTTTATTGTTAGGTTCCAATATCCGCGATGGAATGCCCGGAGCATGACAGGCTTTGCCCTGCTGGCTATTCGGCTATACCAAGGATTTATGAGGATTGTCTAGTGTCCACGGATTCGGCACTTGGTATCTTTCTACTCGCTGATCTTTTTTTTTTTTTTGGGGGGGGGGGGTCCGGTTGTTGTTGTTTGTTTGTTTGATTAAGAGGCAACTAGTCTTTTTTTTACTTTTATTTCAAAATATTAAAAGTAGTATTTCGAGCAAAGTACTTATTTAAAAGAAAATAATCAAACAACTAGGTAGAAATATAAACACGCACGCCCGCTATTCCCCACTCCTGACGACGAATTATCAACCTGTTCGAAACGTCGAGCCACTCCAACTACCCATCCTCTCCAACCGGTGCTATAGTTCTTCTTTAACTATTATAGTTAAAGGACAACTAATAAGCTCACGAAAGATTACCAACAGTCCTTCTTAGGTCGACACACACACTCAAGAAATGAAGATCCTACCCCTCTCTCACGTGGTGCTAGGCCTAAATGTATTCCCATAATATAGTTCCCGCCTTTTTTTTGCTGTGCTTACAAACCTGATCGAGTTTTCTTTAAGTACGTAGGCATCATTGATTCTAGATTTTCTTCAAGATGCACATTTCGAAACCAGAATGGGGAGGGAGGGGGGGGGGGGGAATAAATGATCTCCTTGTTCGATTGAGCAAAATATGAAGTCCTCGGGACACCATGAATATTATATACAGTGATTTTTCGGTCACATTCAATTTACAGTCTGTGGGGAGGCGACACACCGAGTCAAAGTTAGACTTAATAGCGAAAATAGAGTGTACAATCTCCCATCAGGTGCCATTAACATTCAAAGTTATTATTACCACTATCTTTATAATAACTTTTTTTTTGTTATCCCTCTCTCTCTCTCTCGTTGTCAGATGGTGCCCATTAGGCACTGCTTTGACCTTTATCTATTATCATCCTTATCATTATAACTAGTATAATATAATTAGTAGTAGTAGGAATAGTAGAAGTATCAGTATTAATAGTATTACCATTATTACTATCATTATTGTTGCGAGAGTATACGTTTCTGAGAATCTGAAATCACCTCTGTTTCTCTCCGTAAAAAGTAAAAATAATAATAAGTAGATTATTGCTCACGCGTGAATTCTAATTAAGAATCAAGAGACTCAATACTACCCCTGGTTAGTTATTTGTTAATGCGTTTGACTAAGACACTAGCCCCCTCCCATCTAACGCATCGCCAGTGGTTTGTACCAAGTGCCCAATCCTTCGTCAACAGACCATCTCCTTCACGATCGAAGATGAGCTTATCTTCGCGGGGAGTTTTCTTTTTATTGAAAGACCGCCCCCTCCGTGTATTGTTGTCCAACAAAGCGTCGCGGCGATCGATCGAGTTTTGATGCAGTAGCCAGTAAGCTGCATATAACTGTATTGTTTATCCGGTTGGTGGTCAAGTAAAATGGTACATCTTGTGATTACATAGGGTGAGTGCCCTTTTTCAAATCGGCCGAGAAGCCTGTTTCAAACCGGGCAAAGTTAGATTTCCATGCAATCGAAACCGGGCTGACTAGATTAAACGTATATAAAAAGAAGAAATACGAAGTTGTAAACCATCCAGAGACTCCTAATAAACTGACCAATTCATTATAATTATCATTACAAATTTTTATTCTTAGTTTTCTTTATGGATAACTGATTTTCTTATAAAACTGAAGATATGGCGTATATATTCAATAATGAATGAACGCCATTAAACTATTACCAACAACAACATGAGTGCCCTACCGCAAATATTCTCAATCTATAGGCTTTCATGTATAGTACGAAAGAAGGGTGGAGGGTGGGGGGACTTTATTCTTAACCTTATTAAAATATTATTGGCATTTTGAATCCCCCTTCCTTTCTATTGGAATTGACAAACTTGGATAAAAAAAAAAGTGCTGAAGACATTTTTAAAGTAAAGTAGTGTTTATGATCTAAAGATCTAAAACTTGTAGTTTCATGCTTTTTAAAGAATTTGCATTCTTTTTATAGCCATCACTGTCATCATCATCATCATTACGTACATCATCACAATCATCATCATCATCATCACCACTGTCATTATTTTCGTAACTATGATATTTAAAAGAAAATGTTTGAAATGAGAACGCGTTGACTACACTGATTCTTTTTTGTTGTTGTTTATGTGGTTACACGCAATATCCTCAACCTACACCCACTTCTCTTCCACCCTCTCTGTCTGTCTGTCTCCCCCTTTTATTAGTCATTTCTTTATTTCTCCCTCTCTCTCTCTCTCTCTCTCTCACTCTCTCTCTGAAAGGATATAAAAAACGTACTCGTAGGAAAACGCATAATACATCCCAACATTGGTTATCTGAATATCAGCAAATTCAAAGGTTTTGCAGCCGATGCCGTTCCTATTTCATTTGGATTGTCGCCCTCTATTGACTGTAGGCCAGTTAATCGTAGCCATGCATCGAACAACAAACCTTACCACGTACGCATGGTCGAAGTCTAGGCTCTTGTCGAAATTATTTTTCCATTAAAATATATACGTTGTTCTCTTTGAAAAAAATGTGATAACAAAAGAACAGAACGGTAGCATTAGAATTGAAAAATAGTGATCATTTACTTGATATCTCACAATGCTAGGGGAGAAAACGAGTGGGAGAGAGATAGAGAGAGAGAGAGAGAGAGAGAGAGATTGATATCGAGACAGAGAGAGAAATAGATAGAGAGAGAACGAGAGAGAGAGGGGACGAAACGAGAGACGTTTCGTGGACTCAAACAGTACTCAAAAAATAAAATAAAGAGGGTTGCTTCCAAGTCACGCGGTCTCCAAGCTTTTGAGGATGGCATTGTAATCATCACCATCAGCAGCCCCCATTTAACCTTAATACGTGATACCGTCATTGCAACCTGGGTTATTGTAATCATTAACATCAACCTCAACAACAACAACAACAAAAACCAACCTCATTATCATCATCATTATCACCATCATCATCGCTACCAACAAAATCACCATCATTAATACCATCATTATCCTTATTATCAATTCTATCAACATCATCAAACATTTTCATCCCAATCATTGATATCACCATCGCAACCATCCCCATCGTCATGAGTATAACGAACACCTTCATCACAACATCGGCATCACCATCATCACCACCGTAATAATAATAATCATCATCATCATCATCATCATTATCATCATCATTATCATCATCATCATCATCATCATCAAAACCATCATCGCCATCATCATCATCACTATCATCAAAATCATAATCATCATCATCATTATCATCGTCATCATCATTACCATTATCATCAACATCCTCATCACCATCATCATCATCATCATCAAAAGCATCAACATCATCATCATTATCATCAATACCATCATCACCATCATCATCATCACTATCATCAAAATCATAAACAACATCATCATCACCACCATAATCATCACCACTATCATCAACATTATAATCAACATCATCATCATCACCATCACCATCATCACCATCATCATCATCAACATAATCATTATCATCATCAACATCAACATAATCATCAACATAATCATTATCATCATCATCATCATCACCACCATCACCATCATCATCTTCATCATCTTTCATCATCATCATCACCATCATCACCAACATCATCATCATCAACATCATCATCATCATAAACATAATCATTATCACCATCATCATCACCACCATCCTCATGCTCCTCCTCATCCCCCTCACCATAGTAGTAATCGTCTTTAACGTTGTCAGCTTCTTAACCCTCATCCTGGCTTCTCGTCGAACGTGGCTGTCTTATCATTTTGCTAACCATGAAGGACAACGCTTCAACGACCCACTCCGCATAAAAATAACTTAGAAAGAAACCAAAAATTATTTGAAACGGAAGTGAAATTCTATCTTGTCCGAACAGAAAAGGAGATATGATACCATGTTTGTTCGCTTACGTCAACAGCAGATTCTCAAGTAGGACTTAAGCTTTGCAGGAGAGGACTTGTAGCGGTCCAGCGAATCCTGCAATTTCGTCAGACGGCAAAGTAGGAATTTGCATTTCAATAAAACGTACTTGGACGACGGAAGTTTACTGTATTGTGTGAGTAGTTGTCATTTTTTGTTAAACATTCAATAGAGAATATTTAATCGTCGTAATGATGATAAAGAGAAGATTTTGGAGAGAACCCCTTGGATTTTGTTTTCTTTCAACCGTAGAAATGGGATTCGTGTATATTTCATGATTCTCTACACGATTCAATTCCCTCCAGTTGTATTTGAAAGATATTTGGTAGAATCTTTTTTCTCCTCTCTCTCACTCTCTCTCCCTTTCTCTTTTTTTCCCTCTCTCTCTCCGTCTTTCATTTACCCACCCAATCTTTTTGTTTCTTTATCTCTCTCTCACCATGTCCTTCTCCCCCTCTCTCCCCCCCCCCCCCTCTCTCTCTCTCTCTCTCTGTTCGCCACCTTCGCTTCTCTTTAAAACTGACCAACTGAAAGTAAAGTTGAAGATTATGAGGTTAACTAAAGGTTAAAATTAATGTAATATTTGATCTTAATATATTGTTACTCATTATTGCCATGATTGTAATAAGGCAGAAACTCGATGATAAATCCTTACAATGTTATGTACGAGGAAGGCTATACTATAATAAATCTAGATAGAAGGGTATGACTAGGATTACATATGACATAGGAGGACAGATATAAATCAAAATCAAAAATCATATTTACAAACAAAAGTAACCAGGAAGAGCAATGCAAGACTACAAACTTACCAAAGGGCATTTTGGCATCGTCTTGGTTTCGAACCCGCAAACTCCTATTTACAAGATAATCGCCCGACCATTGATCCTCACTATTCAAATACCATGTTATCTAAATTCATCTTAATTCATTCAGTATTTTGAT